CAAAAAAATAAAAAAAAAACAACACCTAGAAAAATTATACAGCTTTATACACACAAAGCTGGCCCTACCCTGTGTGGAGGAAGGGGAAGGCGCCCGGTTCCCCGGCTAGCTCGATCTTGAAAACGCGACGCCCAGGCGCTTTCCCAGAAGCTCCCGCGTTGTGTGCGAGCGCCCTTTGTGCAGCAGCAGCGGCGGCGGCGACCAGAGAGAGCGGAAAGAAAGAGGGCCGCAGCCGAGAGGCAGCGTCCCCCCTCAAAACCGCCTGCAAAGTGCTCTGAGCTGCAGAAGCAGGCCGCCGGATTCGCAGAGCAAGCCGCTCGTCCCGGAGCTTAGCGAGCGCGCGGGGCTGCTGGGCAGCGCCGCGGTTGCTGGTGGGCGCCGGTGCCCTCTGCGCGGGGCTCGGGCTCACCATGCCCCTGCGGGGCCGCGCCGCCGGGCACAAGCGGATCCCCGGCTTGCCGCCGCCTCGACGCGCTCGGATTAGCTGCAGCCAGCGCCCAAGGATTTGAATCCAGACCCCGGAGGGAGCGCGTCTAGGCCGACCTCAGAGTGGCGGCCCCGCGGCCAACATGCTTCGCAAAGGTGAGTTGGAGCCGCAGGGGCAAGTTGGAGTTGGATGCGCACGGGGCAGAGCCGCGATCCTGGGAGCTGCCCGGAGCCCGGGCTCCGGCCCGGGAGCAGCCCCTGGCGGGTTGGCGGGCTTTGCGGGTGCGCACCCGCGGAGGGGTTGTTGCTGGAGCTCAGCCGGGTTCCGTGGCCCCTTGGGAGACATGGGATTTGCCCCATGGATCCAGCTACCAGGCCTAGGGATCAGGCTCGACGAGGTCATTTCGAGACCACGGTGAGCTGCCCATGATGGAAGGGGAGCTGGCCTCCTGGGACCTTTGCTTTGCTATTACAAAGTTTTGCACTTGCAGGCTCCGTCCCCCGCGCAGGCACACGTCGCCGGCTTCTGCCGCTTTGTGGGGGCCGGTCCAACCCGCTCCAGTGCAGCCAGCCTTCCGTCCGTCACCGCGCGGCCCGGGCACTCACTGCGCGCCCTAGCTTCCCAGGTGGGGCCCGGACGCGGGCACCTTCCCTGCAACCCAGCTCTGGTCTCCAGGGACGGGGTCCGGGCACCCAGCGGTCGAGGGGGATGGCTAGCGCCTAATGTCTGGTTCCTCAAACTTTCCCTACCCCTGGAGCGGAGGGATGCGAAGGCGGAGGCCGTGCCGGCTGCGTGCGCTGCCGCCTGTGCCGGGCTCAACTTGAGGTCTGGCCCAGTGACCACCTCACCACGACCCTCGGGCAGCCCGGCTCATGGCCGAGCGTTGCAAAGTTGGCGCCAGTGCTGGGGAAGTTCCGCCGCGCCCCCACGTGGCTGCCG